TGACAGTTAAAAGCAATAATAAAAGTTTTTTTTTAGCACTGCACACTGACAGGGAAGGGTTGTGAAGACGTAACTGATGTTACCTCAAATGATGGTAATTTAACAATATATAAAGATGAGCACAATACTCTACAGAAGGGGCTGTAAAAATAACAATACGACATAGGTTATATGTATACAAATTTTACAAAAACAAGGCACAAAACAAAAAAAACAATATCAACAACAACAAACAACTTAAATGTGTAATTGTAACAGAACAAAAAAAAGTAGACAACGTTTGTGCCGTCATAATCTTAAAGGCGTAAAAATGGGCCAATATGTTGCAAAGTTGAACGTGTGAACAATTTCAAATCATCTTCACGGAGCGGAGTGTGTAAGGATTACACAATCCGTTGTAAGTTATTATGAAAACGCAAGGACATTCATCCAATACTCATCTTGACATATTTATAAATACAGGAGTGTCATTGTTGTTGTATTTTTCGAGATACTATCTACGAGTTTAATTAATTTCTCTTTATTTCGAAATATTCTTGACAAATTCAGCGGCAATTCAAGTGTTAATAAAACGTAAATTTATGTTATGTTTCCTATTGTTTATGTTAGAGGTGCATTTCTCAAAGGATACAAAGTCATTAGTCAAAATTTGTCACAAATAAATTACTCAAAATAAAGGAAAAGTGAGATTCGTCTTCTTCATTAGTCAATTTTAAATTAACGATTTGAATTATGTAGTTGGTATTATAGTATATCATGTAATTAAGGTATTTTTTATTGGTATCTCATTGTATATGTTTATTCATCAATAATATGATATATATACGTCATGCACACCTATACACTTGGATTATTATAACGGTCATTCTAGGAATCCATTTAAGTCTAGGGATCCATTATTGGCTGTTTGCAACTGAGTAAAAAATTTCAATTATGGACGCATATCTACGTGCGATATGTCTTCGGATGCTGTACAGTGTGCCAAAACAGAAAGTAGCACAACAAAATTTTGTGTTTTTTAAACTTGTAAAGATAATTAAATTAAATTGCTAAATACCTACATTATAATACATACCTAAGCCACAATTTTTTCATGATATTTCGCCCACTGCAACAAAAATTTGCAAATTTCAAGCAAATCGGTTAAAAAATAAAGAAGTTATTACTTTTTATGTTATTAAGTACATAGTACCTTCCATATAGTGTATTTTTATTGGGGTATATGTATTATAAATCAAGTATTTAGTACTCCACATTTCAAACTTTTATCTGTCATAGTATTAAAAACTGTTAAAATGGACCATGTTTGACACTAAACTTTAAGAGGTGCTTGTAAGTTGATTGAGCTAAAATTAGATTCAAAAGAAAGGTCAACTCAAAAACTATATTTAAGGAAAATATAGTTCTTATAGTTCAGAAAATACAGAATGCTGATCGGCTAATTTCAGTTTTTCACTTTGCGCTTGTGGCTACGATTCTGATATCTAGGGCAGGCTGCTCTTAAGGATAGAAGTTGAAATATTTGCGAGGGAAAGAAATTCTTAAATTTAGCTTAAAGTGAGTACTTAAAAAAGTATTTAAAGAATGCTCACTTTACCAAACTTAAAGAAATGTTTCATAGGAAAGAGATTTATCGCCAAAGAGCAGGGATTTACAAAATTCACATGGGGTTTGAAATTTATAATATCAAACAGGTATATTCTTCCAAAAACTTACGGAATCAATTTAAACAACCCTATCTTTACAGTTTTTTCAATTCTGTTGGATATATATTAAAAAATTTTTTTTATATTTTTTTTTCATCATAATAATTATTTCAATATCACATATTTTTGGATCAGTTGTAATAACTATTTTGTCGCATTATTTTGTCGATTTTGTCTAAAATAAACTGCTAAGATATCATCAATTCGTCTTTTCCCTGCCTGTATGTACAACACCCAACTAAGTATTACAAATCTTGCAAGTTCATGTTTTGGTAATTGATTGAGATGCGTTTTGTTTATGTTATAGATTGGTTGGTTGATTCCAATGGAAGATCCCCAGGTAAGTTTCTGCTGTATATGCTATACGTATCGCAAATTCTGGAATATAATTCATTTTATCGCCTCTTTATGTTTATACTACGTAGTGTCGATAATGTTTTCATATCACGATACTCTTGATTTAATTTAATTTCTAAAACGTTGGTAAAAACTGTCCGAATTAAAGAGCTATAAACATAAATTTTCTGATATCTTCATAAAAATTTTGATTTTGGGTTTTATACATTTATGGATATCCATACATGCTTTATGAACATATTATATATAACATTTGTTATATCCAATAATTATTTTAAGAAGCTATTTAATCTTTTATATATGTATGTTTACTAACAACGCATTATATTCATATAATATACTTTCATTTGTTATTTTTTTATAAAAATTAATTAATATTTACACAGTGAAATAATGTTTATTTGCATTAACCGCAAATACAAAACGAAATATTTAAATTGAATTAAACCCTTGCAACTTGCAATTGCGCCTAAATATGCAAAATGTCAATCATTCACTTAAAAAATTGAAATTAGAAAATATGAATATCAAGGATATCAAGGATACCATTCCATACCCACAACCCTTAACTTTGTATAATTATAGGGATAAATCCTTGTACGAGTTATCTGCAGGCCAAATCGTAGTTGCATATACCGAATAAAAATAAAAAATAGGTAAAATCGTTCCCGAATGAAACAAAAATATACAATTTTAATGCTAATGAGTTACCTGAAAGTGATTGTAAGCCAATTTAGGAATTTGACTTAGCCATTTCCTGCCGTATGGAAATATCGAGCAAGGATTTTTCTTAATTTTTTTGTTTTTATTGAAATGAAAGACCAATTAACGCAAATGTCCGTAACCGATATGCAAAAAATTAAAAAGTATTTTGCCTTCATTCAATCAAAACATGTGGCAAAACCAGATGATGTTTGGCTTAATTAAAAATTCTGACCGAAGGCATATTGTGGGCTGCCTGTGCTGATTGGATTGGATTGGATTGGACTAGATTGGATATTGGCCATTAAAAAGTTGCGCATTTGAGTTTTGTAGTTTCATATTTTACAAGAAACTAAATGAGCGTTGAAAGGTTATTTTATCTTATGTTATCTTATCAATAAAGTTAATTTACTATTTAATAATTAATTAACATCAATATTAGCATTAATATTATTAGCATTTAATTGGCATGAAGTAGTAATTTACTCGTGTAATCTATTCTACCAGTAGAATTCACTACCAGTAAATTATAGGTAATTAATTTATTTAATAGTTTTTATTTACTTACGAATGAATTTCAAGTCATTAACACGAAATTAACCAGAAAATGTTTTGTACGAAATTAATTACAGGGTCCAATGGTTAATTTATTTCCATATCCTAAACGTAATTGAGTAGTTTCGCTTGGGTTCGCATGTCTCATGTAAACGATTCGTTATTTAGAGTTTGTAATTATCATATAAATAATAATTGTTTTAGAATCTTCAATTTTTTTTCATTTTAATTCTGAATTAATTTAGCTTATTATAAATTTTAAAGTTGAATTTTTTTTCGTATTTTTAGAATTTATTTTTAGTTTTTATTTTTTTAGAAATTTATTGCAAATTGGCATAAAAAATTTTAATCCCATTTTGCGTGATAACAGCCACGTGACCAGAACTGATTTGTTTTTATTGAATCTAATGAAAATTAATTTAAATACGCATTCCATATAAAATCTGTGAAGATGTTGCATATGAGAACCACATCTCACCCCTTTAAACCAGATACAAGCTGCTAATTTCAATGGCGTTAATAATGGAAGGGCATCGTTTATATGGTGCGTGGTACAGAGCTGTAGACGCTTTGAATATTTTTCCACTGGCGCAATATGTTGCCATTGCCTCTACTAGGCGTAAAATTAGGCTTCAACATTATTCAAATGATAAAAAAAGTAAACGTAACCAGAGTAGTAAATTCTAATTTGAGGGTTGCACATATAATATAATATGTAATAAATCTAAGGATAAAAATATTATTGATATTGAAATAATTGTTAAAATATTACGTTTTAATATTATTTTAATTATTCATACATCCGTATAGGTGGATATGGTTGAATTTAATACTTAGTTCAGAACAGAATAGGAGATATCATTATGGAGTTCCTCAATGCTGCAAAATAGTAGCGCTGTGAATTTCGATTAATAGAAAATCTTATGTTTCTAATGCAAATATAGGTACATAAAGAATGGACGAAATCAGGACCTTTACTAACTAAATATTAACAACCTTCACAATCATTAGAATCAATGCCGGTTTTAGCACTACCAGCGCTTTGGGCGAAATTACTACGGTGACCCCCTATTTATTATCGAGACACATATGAAAAACTCTCAAGCTGCTACTCTGCTAATTGAGTGGTGAACAGTTTTTAAAGTGGTTTGCAGTGTCGCCTGTGATTATTGTACAACACTCAATATGATTTAATGTATGTCACAATTTTGTAAATAACTGTTTACTTACAATGAAAAACTAATAAAAGAAAACTTAATACTTTTAGTGTGATTGGCAGTAAAAAACATGAGCTAAGACACACTTTACATCTTACGTAGTTATATAGTTTCTGCAGACTTCGACCAACTTAAAATTTAATAATACAAGGTAAGAAATATTTTATACCTGATCATGACAGAATCACCGATAATGCTTTGCTTTCATAAATCTTTTTGCCAGTTTTCTTAATAAAGATTTTAATGACATGAAGTTTTGAGAAAAAAACTGGAGCGATTTGGTTGAGGTTGCATTGCACAGCTTTTTGAACAGTTTTTGATTTAAAGAAATAAGTTGTATCTAAATAGAGTCCATGTCCAAAACTACCGAAATTTATCACAATAACATAAAGTTGGCTTGGAATTTTTAAATTTTTACTTCAACAAACTTTTTTTCATTGTATTTATATGTGAAAGGAAAAATTTAATTGGTGATTGATTTAATTTCAGTGCAAATTTAAAACGCTTGTAACAACCCTGCTTTCTTTCTCAATGACATGTGTGGTTCTTACAGCATTGCTTTTTTCTTAATTTATACTTGAATATAAATATACTTGAATGCTCTGCTGAAATTAGTCAAAAAGTCTGTAAGATTTTCTTTTCATTGCAGTAATCAATCAGTTAAAGGTAATTTTAAATAATAAAAACTTTATTCTGCTTTTCTATTTTAAATCACAAATCTATACTAACACATATACTAACTAAATTCTGTTCGATTCAGGTTTTTTATAAAACTTTTAAAAAATGGGTGAGAATGCAGTAAAAGAGCCAGTAATAAAACTAGACCGCCATGGTAGAAGTCTGTGGAAGAGCCGTTTCTTGTATGTAAATAAGTTAAAAAAAAAATTGATGGAAGAAAAAAAGGCAGACGGATCGTTTTTGGAGCGTGGTACTTCTTTGATGAATAAAGTCATCGAAAGTAGTTTTAGTTATCCCTCTTGTAGTGCCCTTATTCAGGCAGAAAAGAACAAAGCACAACGTATTAAGTTTAAGCGTTATGGTGATAAATTTTTTCCAGGCATTATAATACCGGTATCAGTTGGTCGTTACAAAACATTCGATAAATTGTGCGAAGACATAACACGTTTCTTCGCTGAAAAAATTAAACTTCCAGGCCCTATACGTAATATATACAATGAGTATGGAAATAGAATCACAATGGTTGCAGAACTTAGTACTTCCGAGTGCTACATGTGTTGTTGCAATAATGAAGTGTTTAGTAAAATGAAACCGAAGAAGAACTGCATGAAGTTAAGTACTGATTATGTTATTGACCAAACACCCATACAGTATGGAGAAGTTTTTACTAGAACAATTTTGTTAATTCAAAACGGACCAAGACCACGGAAAATAAAGAAACTCCTTTTAAATAAGCGGAACAGTGCAAATTTTGATTGTGTCTTAAAGGCAATTAACAACGTAACAAATTTAACTAGTGGTTGTGTGCGTAAGGTGTTTACCTTATGTGGTTATGCAGTACTTGAACTCACAGACTTTTTTGGTGAAGAAGATATATTTCTAGTATGTGGCAAAGAACGTTTTGACCAGAGTAAAGATTTTGAACTTGCTCCTAGAGAAAAGGGCATGATTGCGAATATTTTTGCAAAAGACTGGAAAATTGGCAAAACTTATCGTGTCAAACCAATAGTACCACCGGAAGAAAATGTATACGAAGAATTGAAAAATTCATTACCACCAAATATACGAGATAATTACGATTTGAATGGAAAACTTGGCAAAGGAACGTACGGAATGGTAATGCAAGTGATTGATCGCAAGACTGATATACCGTATGCGCTTAAAATAATTGACAAAACAGATGACGAAGATATAGATATCGATGTAGAAGTGCAAATGCTCAGAAATTTAAGTCATCCGCATATTGTATCCTTGCTTCAGGTAATCGACACCGAAAACAAAAAATATATTTTATTGGAATATGTCGGTGATAGTACGCTTTTTTGGTTACTTCGTGATGAAAACCATTTGTCGGAAGAAAAGACACGTTTGGTTATGAGGCAACTGGCATCAGTCTTAGTATATTTACATGAGCTCAATATAATACATAGAGATATAAAACCAGAAAATATTTTAGTTGATAAAGAGAAACATAATAACATTAACATTAAGCTCTGTGATTTTGGTTTGGCGGCGGAAGTGAATGAGACGTTGTATTTCAAGTGTGGCACGAAAATGTATATGGCACCCGAAATTATGTCAGAGGTTGGTTATGGTCTTAAAGCAGATGTTTGGTCCTGTGGTGTTACATTATGTAGAATGCTCACTGGAGATACTCCATTTGAAAAGAGGTCAACGTCTGATTGTTTAACGGATATTAGTATCGACAAGATTAATTATCCTGAATTGTTTGAAAACAATATCACGCAAGACTGTAAGGACCTTATCAAAAAAATGCTAATGGTTGATGCAGATATGCGTATCAACAGTAAGCAAATCTTGGAGCATTCTTGGATCAAGTATAAAAGAATATCGCGACTTAGAAGATCACTTCATAAATGCTGATAATGTTGACTTTTTAAAATTGTAAAATTTACAAAATCTGTAGTATTAATGTAAAAGTAGAATTTAAAATATTTTTTGTTTTTATATGTGTATTTATCCATGGATCTGGATTTACTTTTTTTCTCAAGAATTAATCAAAATTAGAAAAATAGCAACTAGTTGAATTCTACAAAAGACAGTTCCAAATTTGTTGAAGATCTAATTAAATTTAATTAACTTAAACGATTTTAAAACAAGATTTATAATTGTTGTTAAAAATTTATTTTAATGCGGAGTAATTATTTTATTCATAATAAAAAAGTTCAGGCAACAAAATATTATTTTGCGAAGGCATTTTTTTGCTTACTTCCCAACTTTTATACATTTAAAAGGCTTGAAATCACTTTACTATACTATATACGATAAACTATATATATATTCATTAAACAGAAAAAATATAATTAAATATTGCTTTTAGTATAAATCTACCGAACTTTTTAAGGGTTTTTGTTTTTAACGCTTCATTGCCATCTTCCAGCGGCTTCTAAGTTCTATTTGCTTCTAGTAAAAGTTTGTATGTTTATTACGATGCTAATCAATTTTGTTTGCTCATCGATTCTTCGGTATTTTGTAGTACCTCACTTTTTCTGGTATGATTTCTGGTATGGTCTCATCTAATATTTTGTAAAAATTTCATCAAAGATCGAATAGTTTCTGGGCATATTAGCAACGCATAGATGAATGAACCCAAATATGTAATAGTGTCTATCGATTATTCAAATGTTCACCGTAAAGGTATAATACTCTACAACTATATCCACCTTCTTGCTTACGTCGACGACGACGACATTATTAGATGTAGCAGGCGTGATTCTTCAGCTGCCTTTGCGGGTATCGAAAACAAATCTGTCAAAATGGGTTTAATGGTAAATAAGGGCAAATCAAAGTGTATATCTTATGAACCTCTATTTTACAATTTGAAATTAATATTAATTTTTTTTGTGAGAAATCTTAAATGTTTTACATGAGTCTATTAAAAATGCTTGATTTAATTAAGTTGTGCATGTATGAACTAATTTATATGCCAGAACCATGTGTTTCTGGTATTTCCTCCCATTTATCTATAAGATTTAGATGTTTATTAAAACTATTTTTACATTTAAAATTACCTTATATTTAAACATTTTAAAACAATTACTTTAATAAAATACAAAATCAGAATAACTAAATATATCTTCTCACATATGAAGAGCATCTTTAACTTTCAGTTTCATTGCCTGAGCATTTCGGTTCAGTTTCTTTAAGAATTTGTGCGTTAAAGGTCAGCCGCATGGGTTAATTGAACCGATAAAGTTTGATTATTTGCAACGAGCGTTCAATATTTCAATTCTATAGGGCCCGACATTGCTGGAAATGTAGAATGAATGTAATATGTAAGATATTATATCTAGATGTGTACTACATATCTTTCATAATAATCACATTACTATTGCTATTATATATGTAGAAACAATATTTAAAGTTATTTATGTAGAACATCGGTATGCATCTACTTAGTTTCAGGGCTTCTTTTTTATCACGAGCCCTATCTTTTCAATAAGGTGGCGCTACTGTTCTCACTGAATACATGAGTATGGTTTGGACTTAATTCTTTTTGAATAATTTATTTGAGTAGAAGCAAGTTTTTTACAAATTCTTTTAGTGTTGAAATTTTATTGATACAAGTATCTGCTCATCTTTAGTTGCGATTTTTCAATTTATTTCAAAAATATAATAATATTGTATTAAAAATATTAAGACATACATTGAGCTGATAAAAAAAATATCTTTTAAGTGTTAGAAATGTATTTTAATATGTGTTACATAGAGTAGTTCGGAAAACTTTTTCTGCTCTATATTATGTGCTTTTTAGATAAATAAAAACTTATGGAAACGTAAATAAAAAATGCTCTAAAATTTTATTATCAAATCATTTATGTGCGCATGTGACTAGAAAATATGTTAACAGGTAAATAATAGTAAATTAAAAATGTTTCATGTGATATTAAGTACACAGTATTATCGAAATATCTTAAATATATCAATATATTAATATCGGTTTAGAGTCTTAAAAGTGAGTTACTCTTAATTATTCTAATCATATGGTTTAATATTAAAGGTATATTTAGCTGGATGTGTGTGTGTGTGTGTGTGTGTGGCATACAATTTAAATTATGGATGATACTTTACAAGGAAATATTATTTTCGAAATCGCTGACGAAAGGGCTGGATTATGGAATAAATCATTTGTAGTGATATAGTAGAGTCAATATGATGCGCTGTCTTGTCGTTTCAATCTCGTCGTCATAAGATTACTTTAGGGAACACTTCTCTCAATTCCTGTTTTCTTTTGCAGTGCTTCTAGTGATTTCTCTATTTGTTGTATAGAACATGTGCCGATAGTCGCAGGTGTCGCCAACAGTTGAGTATTAATCCCATCTTTGTTTTTATATCTTCTTTATTCCTTTTTATTAAAACCCCAGAATAGTTAGATACATTTGTACCGATTGACAAGTTACAAAGCGATAATTCGTTTATCAGTTCTCTGCTCATCTGTATGCCTTTTGGTTAACCCACTGAAGATAAATAAATGTTAAGTAAATGTATTCCGCGATGCCCTCAGTTACTGAAGTCTTAATATATGAAACAGGAGACGCTACATGCAAGTTAAGGTTGTTATTTGTACTGTAAGGTTGGAGGTATTTGAATTATTTACATGGATTGTCAATTATGACGGGTTAAGTATTCAGCAGCAATTTAATATAAATCATTTTATCTAAGAAAGTTGCAGATATATGTAGTTTTGGATAAAATTATTATTAAATCTTTTATTTGTATATATTATTATAAGCTCAAAAGCAATTGTGTTCATATTGATATCAATAAACATAGTGACAGCGGGTACTTGAGTAAATTGTTTTCTACACATACTCGTAGAAAGAATATGATTGTTTGATTAATAGAATCAGTATTGGGAAGGTTTAAAAACCAGGTAAATATAAATTTTAAATTCTAAAGTAGAATTTTAATAATATAACAATAGACATTAGGAATCTTATTTAGCAATTACTTAGCAATTAAATAGCAATTACTTTATAAATAACTCACTTTTCTTCGAACAAATTCAATAAATGGAAACATACATTTATCGCATTTGATTTTCAATTAAATTTTAAGATAATTAAAAAATTACCTATATTTAATATTTAATTAACTTTTAATAAAATCTAATTGTCTCTTATTTGTTATTCTTAAGTACTTGTGATTTACACACGTTTTAGTTTGTTTAACACATGGAATTTGAAATATACCATATAAACATGAAAGCAATCGTCTTAATTATAGTCTTTATCAAATTATATAAACCTGACTTGATTATGACAAGTTCTAATTTGTAATAACATATATTCTAATAAAATATCTGTTCACACGTTTTTTTTACATGTGCCAAAGAAAACATATGATTTTATGGTATAAAATAATTAAATCAAGTAAATTATGACAATTATACATGTTAATGTTATTGTGCAGGTTCAACTAAGATTAAAAAATCTATATAATTTTGAAATCATTAAAAATTATTTTGCATAAATTATATATAAATTATATATATATAGTTATATATAAATACATTCAATAGAAATGGGTACTCGTAGCGTAGAGTCTCTTGCAGCAAACCTGAAAGACGTAGTCCATGACGCAGTCTGTGTTCTTAATGACTCTCATATCTCACTAAACAACTATTTGCAATTATTATTTGCAAAAAATCACATTAGATATCTAAGTCTTCATTTAAAAGAGCAGAAATTACATTCTAATATTAATGAACTAATTTCATATAGATGTAACCTTATTTATGTAATTTATGGCAAGAATGATATGCATTATTTTCACTATCTATCTATTTATTTTTATTTAAATATTAATTCACTGATTTGATTCGTTCTTACCAAAAGTTTAATAGATTTAGTCGAATCATAGAACATGAGCTTACTTGAGAAGCGCGAATATATATATTTATTTACCACCGATTTTTTTTAAAACATTTGCTTAATGAATGAATATTCGTCCATCTACTTTACGTTATTAATTTCCCTCATTGATCGGAAATGACGATCTTCACTTTATGAAATATTTTACCACTCTATGTATTCTTAACGTAGTTTAAAATTTCTAATTAAGGTTTTATTCAAATCGCTATTCGATTGCAGCGTCCTAGCTTATGCGAATGACATTACTATCGCTTCATCGGGGAAATTTCTCCAGGTTTTATCCAATGTTATTAACTCTGCACTCGTAACAGTTACCGATTGGTATTGGAAATTTGGTCTGGATATTCACCCAATAAAACGAAAGTTATTGTTCTCACTAGAAATTGTAAAATCCATCCCTTAAAATAAGCACGAAAGTTAAATATCTGTTTCTCATACTTACTACTGTAGAAGAGCTATAGGTCGCAGTTGGGGTCTCCAACCTCGAATCATGCTCTACCTTCACAAAGTCTTTTTTCACCCTGTTTCATTGGCTGCCATCTCGGTTTCCGATGAAACAGCAAACTGAAATTGTGGCAAGCAGACTCAGACTCAGGACTGGTCTGTCCTTAGACTCAGACCTTAACCGGATGTTTGAAGTGTATTCGTTGTTTAGAAAATGTTCCTACTGATCAGTCTATATTAATTGTATATTTTTTATATTCATCTTCATCTAGAAGACTGAATGGTTTATAAATCCATTTGAAGTTTTTGAAGTCACAAAGAGTTATAATGAAAACAACGGTTGGTATAATACGCATCTTCCTAGCAAATTGAGGGTATCACGTTAGATGTTTCCCTTGAAACTAATTTAATTTAAAGTAGTAAAGCAACAGTGGATAATTCTTTCCTGCTCCTCGCTTCGTTAACACACTTTCGAAAAACGTTGCTTATTTCTGTGATGTATTTTGATTGATTTAAATTGCTTTGCGATATTACTGGTTCGTTTATGGCT